TCATATTATTGTGGGAAAATTCTACTACCAGTCCTTCATCACCTTAGACGAAATAGGGTGAATACATCTCTTATTTTTCTTTCAACCAAAGATGTACCAAAATCAGCAAACCTACTAGTTTGAGATCACTCTATTTCATGTCCAGTTTCTACCATATGTTTGGCTACTTCTGATCGTTAGATTCAGCTTCCTTTACAAGCATTTTTGTGTTCTCCCAATCTTTGTTAAATAGGTCGGCATTTCTTACCAACATAACATCGACCTCATGAGCAAACAATCTTGTAGCAGCCGGATCTCGATAATAGGTCATATTTCTCTCTAAAAGATGGCATGACAAAAGAAAGTGCGAGGGTTTTTTCGAACACTGTTTTTATCCCCCACTTTCTTACTAATTCACCTATCTTTTCTGAGAGAAGACATGACGGCAAAATTAGGACATGGGAAAAGGTCTCAGTCTGTCTATCTTTGACTAAATGGTCTCTGTCTGAAAATTTATTCCCCAGTATAGAGGTATAATTCTCAATAAGATCATAGAATAATTATTTTGTAGAAATATATTTGTCAGCCGTTACAACTATTTAGTCAAATGTTTGCACTCCACTTGTCTTATTGAGAATAATATCTCCTTACTGAGGAATAAATTTTAGGACGTAGACCATTTTTCAAAGATAGACAGACTGAGACCTTTTCCCATGTCCTAATTTTGCCGTCATACCTTCTCTCATAAAAGATTTGCGAATTAGTAAAGAAATGGGGCATAAAAATAGTTTTCAAAGAAACCCTCGCACTTTCTTCTCTTATGACATCTTTTAGAGATAAATATAACCCATTAACGAGATCCGGCTGCTACAAGATTGTTTGCTCATGTGGTCGATGTTATGTTGGTGAGGCATGCCGACCTATTTGACAAAGATTTGGCGAACACAAAAATGCTTGCAAAGGAAGCTGGATCCAACGGTCAGAAGTGGCTGAACACATGGTAGAAACTGGACATGAAATATAATGGTCTTAAACTAATAAGTGGTTAAAAGAAAGTTAAGAGAGGCTATTGAAATCAATAGCTTAGAAAATACGTTGAATGTGAGGAACAGTGGTAGAAAGTAGAGTAGGAATTACTTATGCTTGATTTATAGATTTAAGGAGAGAGAGGGCGTTGAGCTGCCGTCCAAAAGAAGGCGACTCAATTTGTCCGCTCGATGATGCTTCTAACTTCACTCACATTTGTCCAACATATTAGAGTAAACCCATCAACCAAACCAGACATGTCAGATTACGCGACCCTAGTCTTTCTTCTCCTTGCGGGATTAAACGTTAATGATCCTAGATTGAAACGTTTGGACAAGTTGTTTCGTAACTTGATTTTCATGCTTACAAGTTCATATATCATTATCTCAACCATACTTGCTTACGGACTTACGTAGTCTCGGGCAAGGCTTTCTCTTGGGACATTAGATCTTGATGATCAGAACTTGAGATTAAACTTATCACAACTCTGATTTAGGAACTTTATCGCATATAGACGCTAACACACACACGCACATACACACACATACACACGCTTATACACTCGAGCACAAGTAAAAGGACCAGCATGAAGGATAAGTGACGAAACT